ATTTTCTGCTAGCTGCTCACCTTCCTTCCACCACCGCCGCCGCCCCTTTCTCGACTGCCGGAGCGCTGCTGCTGTTGTTCATTTTCCTTATCGCGGCCGCAATTTGCAGCGCTATTTTCTTGTTTCTTGCACCTTCAGAACCTGCAAATCTGAGTTTTGGATGTAAATGGTGGAGAGGATAGCAGAGACAGAGCGTCGGTGAATAAACCCACCAATCGCGCGATGATTTGTAGGAGTAGGCGGCTAATTTGGGAATGGGACTGAAGATTTAGGGTGCAAATTAGGGTTTTTAAAAGAACTTTATAAATTACAAATTGATCCTTACGAAATCAAATTATTCATAATTAAACCCAACTGAGTTAATGTTTATTTGTGCGAGGCTAAAATTGGTATTATCGGAGGAATATTCGGGAGAATCAAAAAGATTCTATCGAGTTTACGAGAACGCGGGGGGAATTTCTGTTATTCAGACTTACCTCAGGGGGGTTTTGGTAATTTGCCCAAAATTTTAATTAAAAAAAAAAAAAGATGAAATAGAAGACAGAAAAAAGATGGGTTTCGCGCTGGATTTTGAAGGCCCTAGAATGTTTTTCTTGTGCATTTAATTTAGGGAAAATTGCACATCACCCCCTATAAATTTCTAACTTTTGCACTTTACCCCCTCACAATTTTAAAAAGTGAATGTCCACTTCAAAATGTTATTCTTGTTGCACATTGCCCGATAGCAAAATTCCGATGGATTCACCGGAATTGAGTCTTTTTGTTGCACTTTTCCCCTCTAAATATTAATTTTTTGTAGCACGTTGCCCCCTACAAACATTATTTTTCTACACAATGCCCCTTTAAAATGTTATTTTTGTTGCACGATGCCCACCAAAAAATATTTTTTGGGGCAAAGTACAATGGAAAAATACATTGAAGGGGGGTTATCTCTTTTTTGAATTTCTCGGGGGGAAAGTCCAAAAAAGCGAAATTTATAGGGGGTGAAGTGCATTTTGTCCTTTAACTTAATAGAGTTTTGAATATATTTTAGGGCAGATTGCACATCATCCCCTATAAATTTCTAATTTTCGCACTTTACCCCCTCAAATTTTTTAAAAGTGAATGTCTCCCTTCTAAATATTATTCTTGTTGCGCATTGCCCCGATAGCAAAATTCCAATGGATTATTCATCGGAATTGAGGATTTTTGTTGCACGTTGCCCCTTAAAAACATAACTTTTTTGCACATTGCCCCTTTAAAATATTATTTTTGTTGCACAATGCCCTCCAAAAATTGGCTAATGGGGCAAAGTGCAATCAATATAATATTTTGAAGGGCGAATATATAATGTTTTTAATTTTTTAGGGGGGGAGAGTGCGAAAACATAAATTTATAGGGGGCAAAGTGCATTTTATCCTATATTTTATTAGTTTTTTGGTTAAGTCATAAATATGCTTTGGTTTTTTATACTAATTATTAATGTTCATGTCATTTAATTTTACAAGAAGTTTTAATATAAAGTTTTTTTTTCGTATAGATTTTTATTGTTGGTTCATTTTCATTGTGATCATTAAGTATATATTTTTACAAAAATAAATATTTAGATAAATATGAATTTAATTATTATTTTCTCAAATAAAACCTAAGAAATATTAATTAAACATTAGTTAGGATTATTTCCTTCATAAGAAATATGCAGTAGAACATCTATATATTAATACTCGATAAATTAATAACCTCGCTTAATTAATATTCTCGTCTGGTCCCGGCTCGGTAAACATGTATTAAATTATTAGCTCGATAATTTAATATTTTGCTAAATTAATAGAATTTTTTTAATCTCGACTGTATTAATTTATAGACGTTTTACTGTAATTGTATATTTTATTCAATGGTTTATTGAGATTCTTTATTGCAAAATATAACAAAAAATAAATAATTAAATGTTAAATTTTTCCCATTATTTTGGCGTCTTTGACATTGAGGATCAAATTCCCCTCCAAAACCATTCAACTCAATAACCATATCACCTAGTTTATTTTTAACCTATTTATTTTTATAAATTAAATGTCAACTTATTCAACCAAACATCACATTACCTGTTATAGCTGGTCATAGGACCAAAATCCCAACTTTTGTAACTTAAAGCACTAAAATCCTAATTTTGAAACATGGTGGACTAAGGTGGTGTTTGCAAAAGCTTATTTAAAAGCATAAGTTGGTGATTGTGAGTTAAGTTGATATTAAGTGCTTAACTCTAAAAGTTGGGGTGTTTGCAAAAAATCTGGAAAATTAACTAAGATAGAAAAAGCAGGTACATGGGTGATTTTAAAATTATAGCTTAAAGCAGCTTAGTTTAAGAGAAGCAAAAGCAAAAGTCGGTTTTGCAAACACCTAAAAACAGATTATGTGAGAAAAAAAAAGCTCATAATCTATTTTTAAAAGGTTTTGCAAACATCACCTAAAACTCCAAACTAGCAAACTTACAGGACTAAAAAACTCATTTTGCCTAAAATTAATATTAAAAAGAAGAATTATTATTAAATTGAGATAATTAGCAAGAACCCTCAATTTAGGGAATGTAGTTCAGGAAAATCCTCTCCCAAAAGTAATTAGAGAAACCTCAGTCCCCTTTAAAACAATACTTTTAACAAATCTAAAATGTCTAATATACCCTTGAAGAACCCTATTTCAATTGTTCTTTTTTCTCTCCCTATTTCTCCCGTCATCTATTTTCTCCCTTTTTCTTCTTTCTCTTCTCTCTTTTCTCACACGACACGGCGCCGCGGCTGAGAGCGCTGCCGGAGAGGCGGTGATGCTCACGTGGATGGGCTGCGGCGGCGGCAGAGAATTTTGGGGGTTGATGAAATGGAAGCTGTGGTGGTGGTGGCTGTCGACGGTGGAGTTTGCGGCAGCGAAGAGCCCGGCGTGTTTTTTTCCAGTGGAGGCGTTCTTGCTTGATATGTACAAGGTGGGGATGGTGATGGTGTGGTGTAACATGTTTATGATCCAAGGCATGGTTGAACCGACCCATGATTTGATTCGCAGCCACTCATTGTGTGTCGTAACCCTCTTCAAATGTGCGGAATTTCTCGAGGAAGCCACTCTACCCACTAGTCGAAATAAGCTTATGAAATCCTAGTTTGTGATTGCGTCTGCCTAATAGTAATTCTCGTCCGTGATTAGAAACTTCGAGCGATTAATCCGGAATTACCTTTCATCGGGCCGAGTGTGTGATTTAGTTTGAGGAACGTAGCATCCGAAAATTTCTTTACGACAACTGGAGAGCGGGAATAGGTTTTAGAGTAATTTTTTAAAAGATAGACGCGTACAAGGAAATAATAATTAAACCTTATTAACAAAACGAACTATACGGCACATGAATATGAAAAGTAAAAAATACGATCAAATAATGCGGAACTAAACGGTAAATTACAACCAACACCCTGAGGTATGCTTAAATTACGAAAAAAATCCCTCTTGTTTGGATAATTACATCTACCCCTCAACTATGAATCTTCTTACACATCCACCCTTATGGTATAGAAATTCAACATAATCATCTAGATTCCGTGGAATGTGCTCTAGTTTGTACTCGTTTTGTGTAAAAATACAGTTTCTGATACACTACAATCTGATGTATTCAAGCCAAAAAACACATATTATGATCATCTAGCTTCAAAATGTGGAGTTGGAATGGGATAAAACGGGTCCAAAATTAAGAATATTCCATATAATCTAGAAGATTCCACTAAATTTGAAACTGCAATGGTAGAGGTGTAAGAAGATTTAGAGTTGATGGGTGGTTGTAATTACTCAAACAGAAGGGGGGTTTTCGTAATTTTACCATACCTCAGGGGTGGTTGTAATTTACCCCATAACTAAATCACAAAAATTCTTCTTTACAAATCACACTAAGTGCAACTCCAACGGGGTTATTAAATGGGTTATCAAACTCCTTAACCTCCATTTGACTCCCCAAATTTAAAAACTCTCTCCTCCAATGGGGTTATTAAAATAGAGTTCTATTTTGATAACTCATCCATCCGTAAGTAAAAATACATCCCAAATAAATAATTATCAAATATTCTCCTAAAAAATAGGAGCACTTAAAAAAAGAAAAACCTCAATAGGAATTGAGTTTTCATTTCTTTACGTAAAAATCTCAACAGAATAAAATTAAATCATCTACGTCTTCATTAAATTTACACTGCAAAAAAAAATCTCATAAATATCTCATCAGATTTTTTTTTCTCTAGAGCTTCAACAAAGTTCCACGGAAAAAAAAGAATCTCTATGTATATATATTTTTTTCTGTTTTGAAAAGGTAAAAAATTGACTAATATTGACTTTGAGGATAGTTTACCAGAAAAATCGGTTTGTATAGTTATTTAAAATGGAATAAAAATAAATAATACATAAATAATCATAAATTTGTTTGATAATTATTTTTTAATACTTGTGGTTGTAGTTCATTAGCTGTACAGAGATACAAAGTATAATACTGGTTATCAAATGAGTATTTGATAACCCCATTTGATAACAATGGGTTGTAGTTGCTCTAAAGGGTGCAAGTTGGAACGAAAATTCCAATTTCCGCCGGTTTCGCTCCGAAAAGTTCCGATTTTAGAACAACTTTTTTCATTCCGACTTCTGAAATTTCGATTTCCGAATTTTTGGATTGGAATTGAAATTATATAAAATAAATATGGAATTTTCGATTTCCGATCCGATTTAATTTCAGAAATTTATTTCAAAAAATACACCCATAAATAATATATATTATATAATACTTATTTTTTCGAAAAATACACCTATAAATTTTGTTTTAGGATTTTGAGATAATGAATTGTTGATAGAATTTTTATTGGATATTATGTTGTGTTTATTTTTATTTTTTATTTTTGAACTGAAATTTAGTAATTATTAGTTTTTCTTCTATCGACGTGGATGAACTTATTTTTGGAAAATTATGAACATTTTCGAAAATCTTTCCGCCAAAATCCCGTCCCCTGATTTCTCGCCACAAGAAAAAAAAAAAAACCCAATTAATTCTTCTGTTTTCAGCCGACAAAGAAGAAAAAAAGAAAGGGTCTTTGTCGGAAACTATGGCGGATTCCGACAACGATTCGGGGGGGCACAGCAACAGCAACGCGAGCAGCAGGGAGCAGGACAGGTTCCTGCCGATTGCAAACGTGAGCAGAATAATGAAGAAGGCGCTGCCGGCGAACGCGAAGATATCGAAGGACGCGAAGGAGACGGTGCAGGAGTGCGTGTCGGAGTTCATCAGCTTCGTCACCGGCGAGGCCTCCGACAAGTGCCAGAGGGAGAAGAGGAAGACGATCAACGGCGACGATTTGCTCTGGGCAATGACCACCCTCGGATTCGAAGACTACGTTGACCCCCTCAAAGTCTACTTGGCCAAGTACAGAGAGATCGAGGGGGAGAAGACCTCCGTCGCCGCCGTCAAAGACGCCGCCGGCGGTGGCTCAGCCGTCACTTCCGGCGGCGGCGGTTATAACGGTGGGGGGATTTATGGTGGTGGTGGTCCGGTGATGGGATATCATCATGGAGGACAAATGTATGGTGGTGGTGGTGGATTTCAGCATATTGGTGGTGGTGGTAATTTGGACACTACGGGCAGCTCCGGCAGCTATGGCGGTGGAAGTGGTGGTGGAGGAGCAACAACGGGGAGGCAGAGGTGAGGTGAGGTGGGGGTGGGGGGTGGATGTTTTCTTTGCAAATTAATGAAGTTACTAATTATTTTCTTAATAGGTATATACTTTGATTAATCATCTTTTGATGATTATTTTTTTGACTCTTTTTTTCGATAATATTAATCGTGTTCCGTTTTTACTTTTTTCCGGGGGGCGGGGGCGTGTTTGATTTTTATAAAAAAAAACGATGATAATACAATGAGTGTAAACTCGATACAATGTGACTGCGTTTCTTGAAATTTTGGAACATATTTGGTGATTAATTTAATTTGCTTGAATATAATGGTTTCTTTGAGAAGTTATTATTGTTAGTGTGTGTTTCTTGCTTCTCGGGTTTATGGGGTTGATTTATTCGAGTGTCTTCGATTGGTTTGTCGAGTGCTTTGTTGTTGTTTTCTCGTAAAATCGAGTCAATTGTTCTAGGACTTTCAGAAAAATCTATAAATTTGGAACAGCCACTCTAGAATCTTGGTTTTCTAGTTGCGATCGAGAATACGGGAAATTGTTCGTACAATTGGCTAAATTAATAGAATTTTGTCAGTTCCGACTCTATTAATTTATAGAAATTTAATTAACTGTATAAGCTTTATAATATGATCATGCATTAGGACAATTTGTTTTTCTTTACAGTAAGTACTAAGTACATTCTCAAGTACTGAAAAACATGGACAATTAGTGTATTCTTGTATCCTTCTCTACTTAATTACTTCTTATTTTTCTTAATAATGTAATATGTATCATGTATACAAGGTTGATTTAGTTGACTGATTTTCACATACTGTATCAAAGGTACATATTTGATTGGTTATTCGGGTGAATTATAAAAACACGCATTTGAGGTGATGTTTGTAAATCGAAACCAGATCTCCGGAGGATGTTTGTATCGGGTGTTTAGAACTGTCACTAAAGATAAATTTCTTGCTACAGGCTCATGTTATATTGGACCAAAAACAAGGAATCGAACAAATGATAAAACGGACCAATTGCAATCGTATGCTGCCCATGAGCACGACTAGGTTGGGCCAATGCTGCTCATTAAACTCGGAATGGTCGTCTTCGAACTGGGGATGGCCGTGTATCCCTCTTCGTCGTGGTTACATAGATAGCCATTACTTCTTGCCACGACTCGCTCAAAGCTATTTTATCTGTGTGTTTAACAATGCAAATAATTGCATTAAATAAATAGATAAAATCCATTAAATTATAAGAGAAAAACAATAACAGTGGCAAACGTCTGGGCATCACACTAGTAGAAAAATGGTTTTTTACAACGAACATTAACCGTAGCAAAAGGAATCAAATTTGTAGTAAAAAGGCTTTTGTTACGCATTTGCTACGAATTTGCCCTGTAGCATATACGGGCGTGACAAAAACTTTGCTACGGCAAAATGGTCGTACCAAATATTTTTTTGCTACGGTGAATCCTAGTATTTATCACGACTTCAAAATTGTTTTCTATACTATATCTAAAAGGACGAATCTTTGTTTGGTTTCTTCCATTTTTTGAAGAGACCAAAATATCCCTTAATTTATTAAATATTTAGGGACAACTAAGTCATACTACTTCTTTCATTGAATATATAAATAAAATATTACATTAATATGCATTTGCTGGATGAATTCGAAAGTGCACTCATTCAATTGAATGAGTTACAATATTTAATTAATGTAATACTATGATTACGTCTACACAAGTTCTGATAGACTCATGAGTTTACATTGTAATTAATGTGATTTATGTATTTGGAATAGATGTGATTCATGTATTTGGAATAGACAAATAAGTAATAAATTCATATTTACAGATGGAAGACGTGAAAAGTCATGGTGTCTGGTTTGTATACCTCTAAATTGTAACTCCTATTCATTGTAAATACACTCATCTCAACATTTATATAAAGTACAAAACACACCGAATCAATATTATTGGCTTGCAGCAAATTTTGAAAAATTATTCTTCCAAGGGTGCTCTCTCTCTCTCTCTCTCTCTCTCTCTCTCTCTCTCTCTCTCTCTATATATATATATATATATATATATATATATATATATATATATATATATATATATATATATATATATATTTATTTGTGTGTGTGTGTGTGATTCTTTTAGTTGACAGCATCTTTATAGATTTTTTTTTTTTTTAATGTCAGGCAGTTCTTGAAGGTGCAAAGTTTGTGGATTTCATACTGGACAAAGCATTTTATACAGGACAAAACCATTGTGAGGTATTTGACAATGTATTAACTCTCACACACGTGTTTTGTTTATATGCAATTGTTTGTTATTATATATATTTTATGTGTTGTTATAAAAACTCCATGTACCCTCTAATCATTGAACTTGTAGTATTACTAGGATTTAAACACTTTAGATCAAAAGGTATTATTATACATGATACGAATAATTATTCTTCATATTACTTGTATTGTTATGGTGCAGAAAAAACAATTAACCATGTCAAAAGATTGTAAAGTGCTCATTAAAGATTTACAGACTACTCAACAAAAATGGTCACTTCAACTAAAAGCCTTACGAGTTGGTAGCGCAATAATTTGCGGAGAAAACTCGAAAACAACAGTTAAAAAGATGATTATGATGGATGAAGAAGTAAGTACAGTAATGTCAATAAAATTATACTATGGCATGTTCCTTCAAATATAAAATGAAGAACTTCATTGCAGGGTGCAAGAATAGGAGTAGTTTTATTTAACGAAGACGTTGCATGTTTTGATCATTATTTCTCACTGCATAAGACATACGTCATCTCAAATGCACTTGTTTGAACAATCAATGAGGCGTATTTCAATGCTCATCCTCAGTTTGAACTGGTACTCAAAAAGAATATTACCACAGTTAAGGAGGCACCAACAATTGTTCTTGAGGAAAATCTTCTCTACAATTTCGTCTTCTTCAAAGACATAGACGTCAACTTTCATCATAGAAAATCCATAGGTAATATATTTACCCTTAAAAATAATTTGTACTACAATCCTTAAAACAACATAAAATATAATACTATTGCTTTACAGATGTATGTGGCGTGGTCATCAAAGTGAGGCAAACAAAGACAACAACTACAATGAGGGGAGGATCGAAACATGTTCGAGAAATAACTATAATCGACAAAGAGTATAAAAAAATATATACTTATTTCATAAATTATATCTTATAGAAGCAAAGAAAATTATCCAAATTACAATTATTTAATTTCTATTTACCAGTTTCCATCCTATAGTAGTCAATCTTTGGGAAGATTTGGCCGACAATGAAGGAGGGTACCTACAACAAATAGCTCATGAATATCCAATCCTTGTAGTCACCAATGTCACAGCAAAAAAGTATTTGGGTACGTTTATATAAGAATACAAAAAAAAAATACTTTTTAGTTACATAAATTTTAAAATATTAATAAATACTCTATTTCTTAATAGGAGAATTGCAGGTGCAAACAACATCAGCAACAATACTGCAAATCAATCCTACCATAGTGATTCCCCAATCCGAAAACTTGTAAGTATTAAACGTTAAGCAACACACCCATTTTATATTCCATTTATCCTAAATATAAAAAAAAAAACTTATTACTAATATAATACATAATACAGGTTAGCACTAAGTGGCGATCCACTCAATATCCATTAAAGAAGCTAAGGAGATTGCTCTCGACGAGCTAATCTACCAAAAAGATTGTCTATCCAAGGTACAGTAAACCACATAAATCATCATTTACAAAAAAATAAATCCATATCTCATCTTACTTTGTAATACAGGAAACAAAGTATTTTTTCAAAGGATTAGTTGAGAATGTGGAAAACAAGTCAAATATTTGGTATGATTCATGCAAAAAATGCATGTCGTCTGTTCTGAAGACGGAAGAAAAAGTTACCTGTGCAAAATGCCACCATGAAGACACAAGTACCACACCAAGGTAATCACATAATAACATATTAAAACAAAATATCATTTTTACTGAAATGAAAGTATTGTACTAATTTTAGGTATAGATTGACCTTAACGGTCACACAAGGAACAAGAAGTGCAATCATAACATTGTTTGAAGAGGTGGCAAGCGCCTATGTTGGATGTCCAGTTGAAGAATATCTCAAATCAATTGAACAGGTAAAAGTTTTACCTAAAATACTAACTATGAATCATTAAAATTAATAACATTAATACTAATAATAGTAATTAACTAAGGTAATTTTTTTCCCAGGGAGAACATAACTCAAAGTACTACAGGGGTCTAAGCTTACAAGAATTCACCGAGTTTTATTTTCTCATCGCGCCAACCAACAACATCTCAACGTCTAATGGACAACTCAAGGCTGTGGCTGATGCGATACAAAAAATAGATACTCAAAAAATAAAAGACAACATATCACACACAAGCAGCTCCAAGGACAATGATACTAAAGAAATCGCAACCACCGATTCCGATGAACATAGATCTAGCAAAAAAATCCAGCGTAATAAGAAAAAGGTGGCTGAAGAGAATCAATGCAATCCAAATAAAGAAGAAGAACCAAAGAAAAAACGACGTCTTTCTAAAAAGAAGACAGACAACGCTGCAATCATAATAAGTACCCCTGATGAGAAAGAGCCTCCTAAAAAGAAAAGAGGAATTCGAAAAAAGAAGGCAATAAATATCATCCAAAGTTCAGATGATGACGATGAAACACTTCAAGTATGGAAGATGAAGAAAAAAGCTGAAGAGAAAAGAGTGCACACTATTAACAATAAAGAACATATGGAGTAGTTGAGTGATGAATACATTACTTGAAATAAAACTTAAGATGAATTTTCGCAGCTGTTTATTGAATGTTTTAAAATTCTTAGAGTCATGTAATATCGATTTTACTATATTTGATATGTTATTCTGCTTATATCAAATGTTTTATTGACTAGCATGAACTCATAGTTAACCCTGCCATTGAAAATTGTAACCTACTGTTCAGTTACACTCTTATATTGGAAGAAAAAAATCTCATCAAATCTATATATTGAAATGCATGTGAGATATAGTAGGTATAAATTCACAA